TTGGGGAGGGGGGGTGTTGGTTCGTTTGAGTTTCCTCGCTTTCAAATGGCTTGTAAAAGTGCGGTGCGCATTTTACTTTCACTTTCAAATTAGGGGCAATTCAGCATTGATTCAATTCAAGCAACAACAACGTCAAACTCAGAACTTTTATTAACAAAACGAATAAAAATACACCATATAGGCTTATACCTAATAAAATAACAAATTACTTAAGCTACACAAAGTTTAAATAGGTATATAAAACTGAAAAACAGCAAACAGTGTGGAACCAAATAAATAAGTAACATAGAACATTTATTAGCAAAACGAATAAGAAAGCTTGGAGGCACGGCATATACACCTTGATGTAAAATAAAATAAATAGAATACACTATTATAGAATAAATAAAGTAATCAGCAAACACTGTGGAACCAAATAAATAAGAAACGAATGTTTAAAAAAAACTTCCAGTCAATAGGCTTTTCAAAATCTAAAATATTGCCTAACAGGTGCCTTTGCATTTCTTTTCTAAACAATCTACTGCCATCGTCTTGTCTTTCTCACCTCAATCTTGTCAGTCACCTCGACTCACTCTCCTCACGTGATAAATAAAATCTGACTCCTGCACCGTGGTGCACTGTCGTTCGCGCACGGTTCGGCATGCTGCATTGAGCATTTAGTTTTTAAAAGTGTCTGTCTTCTAACTGAACTAGGCTATATTATTTTTGTTACTATAAAAAAATCAAAACGACGGTGGGGGGCGGTGCCGCGGTAGGCAAATGACGTAACCGGTGTTGCGGCTTAACACCGGTATAACCGAAAACACCGTCTATCGCAGCAATCCTAGTGCTGGGCAATGATTAATTGCGATTAATCGTATCCAAGATAAAAGTTTTTGTTTATATAATATGTGTGTGTGTGTACTGTGTATATTTATTATGTATATATAAAAAGACACACACAAACAGTATATATTTAGAAAATATTTACATGCATTTACATGTATATATCTATATTCATATAATTTATATTATACATTTTCTTTTTATATAAAAATAAAAATTTTCTTAAATATATACATGCATGTGTGTGTATTTATATCTATATACACAGTAAACGCACATATATTATGTACACAAAAACTTTTATTTTGGATGCGATTAATCGCGATTAATCGTTGCCCAGCACTAATAAATACATTAAAACAAGTAGTGCTGAAACAAATGATGCTAGAGGTCTTTTCAGAACAAACTTTACTTTCTTAGTCACTTATGCAATGATTTTAACCAAGCGATCTCAAATTGATTTTGCAATGACTTTCATTTATTTTTAAGTGTAGCTTAAGTGCCCACTACTTTTTGGGTTCACTGTATGTTCTCTCTAATTGGTCTTTGAAAGAAACTCTGTTTGGTTAAGAAGTGCTGAGGGACTAAAGTCTTATCTATGAGTCACAGGAAGATACAGAAATCAGACACAGCCTCCATTGTGTTTGCAGTCGCTAATGCTGGAATCTCAGAGTCTTTTTCTCACATCCTGTTTTTACAGAAACACTAAGCACTGCCTTCTAAACCAATCACAGGGCAAACAGAGCGAGAAAGAGACAGAGATGGACAGAAAGTATACTAAAAGCACTTAAAAAGCACTGAGGGAACAACTGCTCTTTCGCTTATCAGATGACCTTATGTAGGTCACACACGGCACATGTGCTTACATCCAGCAGAAAACAGACAGACGGCATTAGTGGGTTCATTCAAGTAGGCTAACTGGCACAGTAGCTCCTCCACTCCCTTTTCTAAGATTGATCAAAATAAAAAACAACCAGTTTCCTTTTAGTCTTTAACGAAGTACTCATTATCTCGGTGTTCACACGTTCTGGGGATTAGTTCGTTTGAATGTGCTTCTTACAAGCCGTCCATTCACAGATACTTTTACTAAAAGCACCAAACAAACAAGTCATTATAGTACCTCTACTGTCATTTAGACAGAAAATGTAAGTGTAGGACAAAAATGGCTATTGATTCAACTTGTGTTGAGTTTACAGTCAACACAAGAGTTATTTCCTGAGCAATGTGACCATTGAGGATGTCATGTGACCTTTAGAATGACAAATCTTCCTCTGTACACATCCTCTTCCTTTAGCTCCTCCATCTGTACTGTGCATAAGAATTCCAACTGTCTTCACGAGTTGTATTTTGACCTTGTTTGACCAATACCTAGATGGCAACACTGAAATACAGAGCTCAGAGTTTCACAAAGTATTGCACATCAGTGAACGACTTGTCGTTTAAGAACTTTTCTTCCACCCTTAGTGGTGACCTAGATTCAAAGTTTGAAAGGACTGGGACATTAGTCCAATCCCAGCAGACACAAGTCCTAGTTTAATACGTCCTCTAAAAGATATGTTCAATGAAAAAACGCTGAATCTAAAAACAGTCTGGACAAATGTCCTCCCTCCTGGAAAAGCCTTTGGCCTTACTAAAGACCAAAAATTATATATACTGCATTGATTCTTGCATCAGCATATTTTTACATTTGTGATCAATTAAAGCTGAAATTTCTCCACTACCAGCGTCACTAAAAAATATTGAAAAACAATGATTTTCCAAAATAATCTAAATGTCTGTCATCGGTCAAAAAAACAGATAGTTCCAACCCTCAAAAATATTTTAGCATCAAAAACTACACTAAAATGTCATGCATGCAGTTTCTCTCTCTCTGTTATGTGTTTGATGCAGTTTCATTCATGATTCATGAATGTGAGTGAAATAGTTGCAAATGCGACAACAAAAAAATTAAAGTCCAACAAAACAAAATTCACAAACCTTTCTCAAACTTGCTTGTGACATTGAATAAAACTGATTATGCAATTTGGCAACTAAAAACAGAAACCCAGGCTCATTGGCAAATGTCCCTATGGCAACATCTCTGCAGAATGATACTGCATTGTTGTTTGCAAGTTTCATGCCACTTTCAAAAGTGAAATGTCCAGGGAGTGGTGCTAAAAGGAAACGTACCACCTAGACTATCACGAGCATATACATGAGATACAAACACATTTGCTCAAGCAATCACACCTGTTTAGCTTGCTTACAAGTCTTTGAGCTTTTTTTGAGCTCTTTGTGACAGGAGAACAAGTTTACTAAATCCGAAATCCATACATGAGTGCCTATGCAATGCAAATGGGAAAAAAGTAACTGTGAGAAAATAAGTATTTGTCATTCAATGATATGTCCCTTAAAGGGGTCATATGATGCGATTCCAATTTTTCCTTTCTCTTTGGAGTATTACAAGCTCTTGGTGCATAAAGAAGATCTGTAAAGTTGCAAAGACTAAAGTCTCAAATCCAAAGAGATATTCTTTACAAAAGTTAAGAGTCAACCACATCCTCCTAAAACGGCTCGTTCTAACACGCCCCCACATGTCTACGTCACAATGTGGGAAGATTCTGAACCGGTCGAACCAGTTCACCAAATCCAATTGAATCGTCTGAAACGGTTCGCGTCTCCAGTACGCACTAATCCACAAATTACTTAAGTTATTCGGTTGAGGAGAAACAATAATGTACAGTATACATATGACCCCTTTAAATAATACGTTGCGCAAGAAGAAATAAAAGCTGTTTAACTGATACTAGAGGTCAGTTGGAAACTTCAGTGAATTGTATGTATAGGTAAATTTTTGGAGTGTTGCAAAAAATTTAGGTAAAGGCACATTTTTCCAAAGAGCCTAGCTTGTAAAACAGTCAGTTTAGCTCCTAAATTTTTCATTTTAGAAACCAATCCAGTCTGGAGCCCTGCTGAAGGTAGTTGTTAATACGCAACTCTACTAAACACTATTTCACCCCTCTGTCCACTACAGTCACTGAATTACAAGGAACCAGATCGCTCTAATAAGACAAATATTCATTAGGAACGATATAGTGTCTGATATGGGAAAGCCAGCGAGATGTTTGTCTCAAATTAAACCCACTTGATCTCACTTCAGTCGAAGAGGAACTGAAACTGTAATAAAAACCCACTCTGGTGTTAGAGCTGCTGTGAAAGCAGTGATCAGACGCCTGGGCTCAGATATCTTTGATTATATGTGTTAGAACAGTGGAGCAGAACCATCTCGCAAACTACAGGGTGCGATGAAGACTCCTCCCATCATGGAACAGACAGAATCTTCATCATCTGCTTCTGACAGATAGGACCTTGGGAACACACACACACACACAGAAAAACTTGCATTTAAAAGTCAGTTGTTACCTCTGATTTAGCCGGCGCTCATCATCACTTCCAAAGTCCTGGAAAAATAAAACAGAAAGTGTGAGGGAAACAGAAGTTAGTCATCTAAAACAATAGATCACTAAGACATGTCCACACTGTTCTATTTTAATTCTATTGCTTTGAGCCTTGAAATAAAGAATAGAGCAGGATGTAGGATTTTCTGATGTAATAAATCTAATTATGTCTTCATGCATCTTCTACCTAAACCAAATTATAAGTTCAGCATCTGTTGTGAAAATGTCAGAGAGGCCAGAATCCCTCAGGCCTCGGAACTTTTCCAAATTCTACAACCTCACCCGACTCAAACCCAGCGCAACGCACAACAATCTGGCCTAAACATGGTTCTTTCCCCCCACACGATCTCTCTCTCTTTCTTTGCTAAATGTGTAACCTTTAAGCACAATACAAGACCTCCGTGTCCCAAATAACAAAAAAGCTTTGATATATCACTATTCTCAGCAGCGTAATATGACAAAGAAGAAATGTTCTCTCAAAGCTGAAATGTGAAGAATGGGGCCTCTCCTTAAGATAAGGTTTCATCATAACAAAGAGTGTTTTTAAAATAGTTCTTCACTGTATGTGAACGTGACGGCCCTGATTATTAGGTTACTGATAGTGGTATAAGCACTGAATGAAGGCCGGGGAGTGTGCCATGGTCAGATGTGACAGATGCCTGAAGGCGAAGAAACCGTGTCGGGGGAATTGGCTGTGCCAAGGATTCTGTCACGTACCAAAATCTCTCCCTTCATGCTGAAGCTAGGCTTATAAAACTTTATAAGCAGGGCTGAATGAGGAGTGGAAACCATGAGGTTTGTGAACAGAAACAGACATTTTGGAAGTTTCTGTGATTTATAACACATTAAGTGGATGAACAGATTGATAGCATAGGGCGAAAAGTTCGTAGTTCCGCCCCGATACACACACACACAAACAAACAAACGTGCATGCACACACAAGTGAGCACACTCCCACTAGTATTTGTACATATTAAGCCGCAAAACGACTATTTAAATATGAATTCTGCGTCTCTGTGTTAATGAATGGCGCGCAGACGCGCTGTTTTGTTTACTACTCGTACTGAAGCGCGCGTGACGCTTCCGGTGATATTAATGTCTGCCACTAAGAAGGAAATAAATACATGAAGAACATCATGAGCATTTGACCGTTTAATCTGAGTAAAAATATCCTCATATCATATACACACAGAAATGTAAAGGTATTCACGGCAACCCGTCAAAATAAAAGTTCGGTTTAACTTGAAGACATTGCGGC